TTTTCTCTTCCTATAGTGCAAAAAAAGTAGAAGACACACTTATTACTTATTGTAAATATTTTTAACATGTAAAAACAAGTGCAATTTCAAAACTGCAAACACCCACATGAATTGAAATACCAAACCTAAAAGAAGACTGATTCAGAGTCATTACACCTATCACCTGCAATATAATTAACCCATTAGATACAGGTAACATTATAGAAAAATTTAGTACAGGGCCAAGGTAACTGGAATGTGACGTCACAAAAAGTTGGCTAAGGGCCAAAGTGAATAGAATGTTACGTCATGAAACATTTGGCTGGGGGCTGAGGGGATGCAAACTGGGAAACATTCCTCTGAAGAATGCATGCACAAAGCTCTTAAAGGAAGTTTAGTCTCACTGGGCATTGAAGGAAGGGACTCTTATTATTTCCAATGTTCTGTAATACAACCTGTACCTGCTGTCACCAGTAGCACAAGGTGTGTTACAGAACACGGAATAGAATTAAAATATTGAAGAAATGGCACAATCAGTACAATGTAAGCTAATGTAATTATTACTGCACAGAGTTGTAGACTGGCTACAAAGATAGTATGAAGTCTGCTCAACAATAACACTATTACTATTCTGATATAGCATATCAAATGAGAAAATGGCCAAAAAGGAAAAAATGTTTATATATCCAGGGAGATATCATTGCAAAGAGGAAGCAAGAAGTCTTGATACAATACATGAGAGTTTATGTGGGCTAGGCCTACAAGCCAAACACCCAGGGGAGTTACAATTTTAGTAAGCCTAATACCTAGATTTAGGCATGTGAGCTGCGAGGCACATTGATCCAATGGGTTAAGTTTAGAGGCAGAAAAACCAAGTTTTAAACCATTAAAGTAATATCAGTACAAAAATGCCACAAAACTGACTTTGGTATGTCCAAAATAAAAAATGTAAATTTTTACATTAGCTTTGCCAATTCAAATCAGTTCAGACTTCCTGAGTCTTAACATTATGGTCTCTAAACTGCATTAATAGATCTGTTTAAAAATGAGATACAACTGTTATGACTGTTTGCAGTTTTCTGTCAATCTTTAAGAATTATGTCAACTACATCAATATGTAAATATATACATGTAAATATGTACAGCATATTTTTCTTTTCTTTTCTTTAAACAAAATAATACCTATCCAACAGAACTTGTTTGCTATTCATACAATGATAGTTGCTATGTGGGGGCATCTTTTCTTATTTCTGCTCCAAGAAGTAACTGATGACAGACCCAACCTTACAATTATAAATCTGAATACTAGTACCTTAAGCAATAGTAAATAGTAATACTGATACAGCAAATAATCTGTAATGCATAAAAAGCATTACTGACATGCAAAACCTGCACTGTAAAACACTTACCAGTCTTCCTATCTCTTCTACCTTAGTTCTTCGCTTTTCTTCTACCTTTTTCTCCTTTTCATGGTTATTACCTTTCTGCTTATTGTTTTCTCTCTCTTCACCTTTATCCCACATTTCATGTACTTCATTCATTAAACGTTCTTCCAACTGGGCCAATCCTGCAATACTGTAATGGAAGATGAAAAAATAAACCAAAGCCATAGATAATAACTAAAAAGAATCACCTCAATAACATTCATGGAACAAGTTGCAAGTTTCAGAAAATCCTCATTTCATTTTCAATGTTGTTTTAACCACAACTCTGGTCTTCTGCATTTGATAAGAAATTAACTGAAATCAACTACTTCATGACCCAATACTGCCAGGAAAATCTGATGTATTGTCTTGTGATATGCCAATTAGTAGTCCCAAGGAGCCAATTAAAGTCAACTTGACCTTAAATGATTTCCCCTTTTCTTGATTTTTTTTTTTTTTTTTTTTTTTGGGGGGGGGGGGAAATTAATGCTATTAATATTGATGCTGTTATCAATACTTTTGGCATTAGAATTATTAGTCATGAACAACACTAACAGCAATATAAAATAAAATATTTCTGAAAATAAAGGAAAAGGGTAACAGGTGAGATAATTAGGATTAGTAAATGACTCCTTGGTGACTAAGCACTTGTGGATTTATCTATGCATAAATACAATTAATAAAGTAAACCCATTGTAAGCATGGCATGTATGTACATGCCACCCCTGTAGCAATGGGTTAAAACACTGTCAGCACAAGCAGATTGAGGATATACATACTACTGCATATACAGCAAGATCTTCCTGGACAGGTATATCTAATTATTTAAAAAATCTATAATCAGAATAACCATTCAAACAACTGAGTGAGGGTTTTCAAAATTTAAAATACTTGGTGACTTACTGTACTAGATTTTCCTTTGATCCTTTCTCTTGTTTAGACTTTTTTCCTGTTCCCTGTAAAAACAGAAGCCAATCAAGTTAAAATACTAACATGTGAGGCTCAGAACTATGGGCTATCCAAGCAAAAATATTTAAAGAAAAAATGTCTTACCCAAGTTAACACTCAACACAAAGAAATCACAACTGTTGGCTATCAAATTAAAAATATGAAATCAAAGATGTCCTAACAACCCAACTGCCACCCTCCTCCCCAAGGAAAAAGTTTTACATACCTTTTGATTTTCACATTTGTCATGTATGGTGACCTCCACGATATTAGCTTGCGTTCCCTTTGTCACTTTGTACGTATAGGCTGAAGCGCAAATGCATTTTAAAAATCATTTCAAAACTAGATGAAGTCAAGATTTTACAAACATATTTTCCATTACATGAAAGTATTTTGTGTGACTTCCTATCAATATGTATTATTCAACATATGAAAAAATTCCAATTCTGAAAATGAGCCTAAACTGAAGCAATTTTGATTATGCTATAATCAATATTTCTGAACACATACACCTATGTTTACACCCACACTTTTAATTACACTAACAATTAAACTTGTACCTTCACTTTCACTCTTACTCACAACCACACTTACATTTACACTTATGCTGACATTCAGCTACATACTCACACTTTCAGTTACATTTTCACTCATACTTACACCTACACAGTCACTTACACTCACGCTCCCATACTCACACCCACACCCACACTGAGTATTGGTAAAATTCTAAATAAGTACTCACGGGTATTAGAGCCAAGTTTGGCATATTCCTGCTCTAACTTGCTAGTAACGGATATGCTGGTTGAAGATAATGATGCTGCTGCAATTTCTATATTGGCTAAAAGGATGAAAAAAGATCACATATAATATGTAATTTTGCCACTAAAGATTGCAGCATTATGCATTTGAATAAAAATATAACATTTCTTTCCCTAAATACTTGATTTACTTTTTTTCAACTTGCAAACTGCCTTACCTTTTTTGGAGGAATTAAGAGTTTCTTCTAATAACTGTAGGAGTTCTGAACTGCTGCCACATGCAAAAATACCAGAGCGTGCATAGACTTCCGCAATGGATTTCCTGGACAGTTTTGAGGCAGCCTGTCCTGCTCGATAATAGGCCTGCAAAAAATGTACAGACTTAAAAGAAAAACTGTCAAACTGTGACCTTAAAATAAACTTTATATATAAACTTTATAACAAATCTATCACTAAAAAGCACACAGAAACTGGAAAAAGGCAATTTTCATAGAAATTAACACAAACACTGTTTTCTTTAACCTCTATAAATGTGTTTTCCTTTGTTATGTTTCATTGAATAATAATAACAATAACATTAAGAACAATAGCAATAATTATAATAACAATAACAACAACAACAACAACAAAAATAATAATAATAATGATAATAATAATAATGATAATAATAATAATAATAATAACAATAACAATATATAAGCTAACTTCTTCAATAGATTTCTTAAACATCAAACAATTTTTCACTGTGGGTAACATCCATCAAAATCAATAAGAACTTTTTAACAAGCACAAAAAAACATATAAACAAAAAGAGGCATCCATGTACATAAATATAGAAATAACACAAGCAGAATAGCTACAAGTCTAATCACACAAGATGATGACAATAGATTACAATGATAATTAAGACAGCCAATTATAACAGCAATAATGGAAAGCACTGGTAATAGCAATGAATAAGACTATGACTACTATGACTGAACAACAATGACACTAGAAATAAAATATTTTACAAAAGTGGAGAGAGAGAAATCTAGTTTGTAAACTAGACCTACAGATAGACATACCTTCATATGAAAAGGGTTCAACTTGATGGCAATGAGGGCATCCGACTCAGCATAGGCATACTGCCCCACCTTAAAGAGCGCCTGACTGCAGTTGGACCAAACCCGGTGATCGTAAGGGTCCTTTTTCTTTGCTGCCGAGGCCAAATGTAGGTGGTCATATAAATAGCAAGACAAATAACCAACATGATATATAAGACATACATGAGTGATTATATATCAATTTTTGTTGATAATTTTTTGCTTTGTTTTTTTAGATGGAATTCAGTTAATTTATTGTACTTGTCTTCAGCAAATTCAAACAGAGCATATTATTTTATTTTACACTGGAAAACAATTCTAGCATCATGCATACCTATATCATAATGGATTATTGCTTGATTAAAATCTTTTTTGTTAAAATAGTAGTTGCCCTTTTCTCGTGCCTTTTCACCCTCGGCCATGAGTTGCTTGCATGTTTTAGCATCCTGAAGGAAACATTCAAGTTTAAATTAATCACTTAACCTGTTAAAAAGTAAAAACCTTCATTTCAATTTTCAATGTGAATATCTTAACTTCACACTTAGTCCTTTGCTGCAATTACTTGACATTTACATCAATGCAATATAAGATTAGAGAAAAAATATAAAAAAAGCAACATACCACCTGTATATACTTACAAATTTAATATAGGCTTCAAATTTACAATCATTTAATCTCTGTAGAAAACAGGAAACAAACATTAATAAATGATATAAAGAGGTTATGCATTGGAAACAAAATTTTTCCATATATCAAGAGTACAACAAAAACTCAACAGAAAATACTACTTACTAATGGTTCTTGGACATGTCTGATAGCGTCCCTATATGTTGCAGATTGATCCAAAGATCCAAGGATTTTACCAACAGATGACTGACTTTGCAGTATATTATACTTTTTGATAATCACCTGGTTAAACCCAACTTCTACTAAGTTACTATCTTTTTCATTCTTATCCGATTTCCCTGGTGCTATATGCATTGCAACCTGCAAGAAGAGATGCCTTTATAGAATTTTAAAACAATTTCAAAATGGATCATTGTGTAACCACTTTGATAACGAGCAATGTTACTTTTTACATCCACATTCTTTCCTTTTCATTCTACAAAAATTCATAACTGACAACTGTAGATACCTTGGTAAAATTTAGATCTACTTCAATCTTAATAAAGAAAGATATTACCAGTACCTACAGTTCAATACAAACTAACAGCAGTCTAAATAAGGTTAAAATCCCATATCTTCAGTTCTTCACACTTAATGCGTCAATTTTAATCCCTCATTCCTACATCTGAAGTAAAGTGGATTAAAGTTTTTCTCTCTGTAAAGTGAGATACCACGAGCTACTCCAGGACTAAAACTAAGAAAGACATTCCAGTGACTTCTTAATTCACATAAAAAGATCAAAATTTTACAGTTCCCTTACATCATGAATAGTAAGAACAGCACCAACACCAAAACCAGGCTTGCCATCTTTCTTCACAAGTAAGACAACGGGAGAGACATGTTTTCCGTCAGATAAACGGAGGTAGGACATCATGTCATTAGTTGCTACGAAGATAACCTGTAAAGGAGAAATTTTGATGGTAAATAGCTTGATAACTGCTTGTATGATGAATTTCATCTCTATGTTATATTATGCAAAGTTGGTTTGTTAATACATAAAAATTAAAATTGTAAGGTATTCATAAAAGAAAGAAAGAAAGAAAGGAAGAAAGGAAGAAAGAGGAAGAGGAAGAGGAAGAGGAAGAGGAAGAGGACAAGGAAGAGGAAAAGGAAGAGGAAGAGGAAGAGAATGAGAAGAGAAAATCAAAGAAAAGATAATTAAAGAAAAAAGAAAAGAAAATTGAAGAAAAAGAAAAGAAAATTAAAGAAACGAAAAACGAAAAGAAAAGAAAAACTTACTTGCACATTAATAGAATGTTGTAAATTTTGGCTATACAACTCCAGTACGCCATTTTCTGTAAGTACACATTTAGACTTCCCACTCATCTTTCCTGTAAATGAAAGAAAAAATATATGATATACATGGCAAATCGACAAAATACAATTTCCATTACCAATAATAAACATTATGTAAGGATTTATAATTACAATGACCTTTTTCTTCTCATAATGAATTTCACCCATAGCAACTTTACATACAAGAGACAACTATATCTCTTCATTTTATACATAATACTAATTTCCAGTAATACACATTACCCAAAAATATACTAGATGAATGTTCTTCCTATTTTCTACAACCCCAGACAGCTAATAATGGTACCAACTATTTTTTGCTATCAATATGCAGATGAGGTTAAACCAAAATACTCCTTCCTCAATTGCTGCAATAAAAGAAACACGGCACAGAAAATAGATGCACAGGTGATTATAAATACACAAGTGATCAATGGACAACTCTGAGAAAGAACAGAGGTGACCCAGAAAATGAACTGAGGCAGAAGCAGATCCAGATCAGGGAAGCAAAGACACTGAAGAGTGGTGAACTTTGCTGATGAACTACTGAGTGGCAGTGTCAGCAGCCTTACTATGAGTATTTTGGAGTCCGTAAGAACATCCCAAGTCAACATGATTTGCTTGTGCTCATCAATATCATTTCCTTTCATACTTTCTTTTCTTCTGTTCTGGTTCCTATTCAAAAATGAAAGTCATCTTTATAAAACTATCGAAAATCTGACAAATCAATTGATACATATTTCATGGCAAATACATTGTGACATAAAACAACCACAGAAGCTCTCAATTACCTGTTTGGCTACCATAACACCAATCAAGGACCTATTCAATCAAGATGGAAACTTTTAAATTGTAACTTCACAATAGTAAGATTCAAAAACACTGAAAAAATGAAATAAGTCCTGGATTAAACCAATAATTACAAAAAATTATTTGCTGTTTTTAATGTGTGTGTTATGTGCTCGTTAGCGCCCTGCGCATTATTATTGAAACAGATTGAGAAAGTTATAGGGATCACTCATATTACCTTTATTAGTCTAAATTTGTATGTCAATCTATTTATTTATCTCTATGAATGACTGCCTGAATGTGCCTAATTGCCTGCCAACCAGCTGTGACTTCTACATTTATATTTCTGTATTCTATTAGTAACCACTAATTGGTAATATTTCTGGATGAAGTGAGAAAACCACTATGAATCAAGTTCAGTCACCCTCTCCACCCCTCCTTTACTTGTTTCACTACTTGCTAGTTTTTGTTTGTTTCCAGGTGGATGAGGGTGGCTCTATAGGTTGGTGGGAGGGTGGGTGCATGTGCGCATGCATGCTCATATGTGCAAGTGTTTGGGCATGAACGTTTTTGTGCATGTGTTTGGGCATGTGTGTGCACATGCATTTCCTTTCAGACACTACATTATCATACAATTCATGTAAATAAATGTTTAATTTGGATGTTATGGAATAACAATTTCTTTGAAGATTAAAACAGAACATTGTCCATATATGCAAGATTAAATTTGATAATCATTATATATTGCTTACCATAAAGCAAATAATTTTGCTCTAAGTTACAGAGAGCAACACATGGAGATAGAGGGAAATGGACAGTGCCATCTTATAGTGTAAGAAACTGAGTCAGAAACCACATAGTTTAAGCTGCTGCGTCCTCATATTTACCGCAAAATCATGAAAATATTTGCTGCATATCACTGCTAAAAGACAAAGTCCGCAAAATCCTCACACGGACAGAGTTCTTAATGTCTGTTATCTATAGGTTGGCACAAGGTGCTAATAAAGGGGGTACAGGGGGTTTGCCTCTCTGTCTAGGTAATAAATAGAAGGCAAGAAAGGTTAGGTTGGGTGTTGGTTTCCCATTATATACTGGTTTCAGGATGCGTTCATATACTTTAAAAAATTGTGGAATCCATTCTTTGAAGCACAAAATCCTCTACTAAGGAGTAATATCGCAAAAAATCAACTGGTATACCAAAATAACACTAGCAGATAAGATCATTGTATTTTTGATACTGACAGTCCTAAAATTACATTAAGACTTTCTACAATCATGAAGATTCTAGCAAACAAAATTTATGGTACTGATGTGCATTACACAATTTCAGACAATCATTTAAAACTTTACAGAATTGTACACCTACTTTCTCCCTAAAATCAGATCACAAATTATCTTGGTTAATCTCTAAGATATGGATGCACTAAGCTAGGGCAATTTGATGATGATATTCTTGTAGAGGACTAAAAGTTCCAGTCATTGGTAAAAGAAATAATCTGCAGACATGAGTGATAATGCTACAAATAAGCAAGAGAGGTCACAGAAAGCACCACTCACCGCCATTCAATGGATTTTGCCACAATAATCACCTTAGTCCCTGTTGATATATGATTATACTGTTCTTCTTTACTTGAGTGGATTAAACTGTAAAGCAGTACTATTTTGGTAAGTACAGCTTACCTGTCTGTACCTGAGCTCAGTTCAACTCTGGACAATTGTAAATCTTTTCCTAAATTAAAAAGAGCATAAGAACCATAACTGTAACTTTGTTCAACATATTTACTTGATAACAAACAGACACTGATGATTCAAAACAGCAAAACAATAACAGACACTGGCAGTTCAAAACAACATAACACTGAAAATTATGGACACTGATAGTTCAAAACAGAACACTAACAATTATGGACACTGATAGTTCAAAACAGCATAACACTAACAATTAGGGACACTGATAGTTCACTTCAAAATACCAAAGTCCAAAGGTTGTTCAGATAATCCAAGAGGAAATGACAGTTACTCCAAAAGGCAAAACAGTTGCTGACAGTTACCCTACAAAATACAATACACATTCTCAAAAGGTGCAAAAGACCCATCACATAACAGTCAAAACTAAGGTTACACCCACAGAGAGTTTCACGATGATGGAAACCGACCGAAGGAAGAAAATACGTCTGACAAACAAATTAATCCCAAGAACGTTTTGTCACTGATAGCACTTCAGCCTTTCTCGGCCTCATCTGTCACATGTCATCCTCTTTTATTCCAACTGAAACGTAATTGCACCTTCTGAAACGAAAGGCTGATCTCGGAAAATAACTTGATTTTACCCCTCCTCCTTCCCCTGTCGAGATATGCGAGTTAACCAAAGGGAAATAAGATGCAACTTTCACGCTTTTTTCCTGGCGTGTTTTCCACACTTTGTCATTTGTTCCCGTATTTACCTCACTAGCAAGGGAAAAGCACGTACCAGTCTGCCACGTTTACAGACGATGCCCAATTGGAACACAGCCGCAAAAGAGGCGTAAAAAACTAAAAAACGCAAGGACAGTCAGAAGAGCGAGTTTCTTTTGCTTGGCCTTGTGGGTGCACTTCATAATCTCTTTGGCAGAACAACACCCGGGACTTTTCAACAAGTTTACTTCTTCTGGTGATATAGCGGGGATTTTTATCGATTTTAAAAAATACATTACGTTTTTCGGGATATCCTGGGTGTCTTGGGAGTATTTTTAAAAGCGTTTTTTTGTGGATGGTATATTTGTGTGTACCTTTTGGAAGTTCACAGATAGAATGAGCGCGTACGACGAAGCAACAAAGCGGGCCTTTCAGTGTAACATAAATCGCGGGTGTAACACAAAGTTTGTATTTATGTCATCTGAATAACGTTACGCAATTGATTAGGTTTTGGTTGAACAATGTTAATTTATAATAAACAGCAGTTGGTCGCATACCTACGTGAACAAAGGGAATATTGTTCAGGTTGCCACTCAGCAGCTGTTTCCGTTTGCACGTGTCATAAATAGTTTTACGTGTTCTCCACAGGAATGCTGCCTTACATTTGCCTTTGCAACTATACTGAACATCAAATGAAACACAAATTACTTTCCATTTTTTTTAATGTGTTATGTATAAAATCACACATGTACAAACACATATGTGCTTATACATGTACGTACATGTGTATATGTGTGTGTGCAAGGTTCAGCATAATTATACGCAGAATGATCATTCTATATAAATGTATAACAATAAACTCAGCTGGATGGTGCCTTCAGAAAAGGCATTTTTTTCAAGGCAAGTTTGTACCTGACATCCCACGACCCAACACGATCAAACTTGAAGGCTGGCCACCTTGCTCTTCCGTGTTGAGCACTGCGAAGTCTTATCATGCACGCGAAAGTATGACATTTAAGGTCTTTCATCTGATAATATTGATGCTATATTATATATATTTATATATATTATATATATATATATATATATATATATATATATATTATATATATAAATATATATATATATATATATATATAAAATATAATATATATATATATATATATATATATATATATAATATATATATATATATATATGTGTGTGTGTGTGTGTGTGTGTGTGTGTGTGTGTTGTGGTGTGTGTGTGTGTGTGTGTGTGTGTGTGTGTGTGTGTGTGTGTGTGTGTGCGTGCGTGTGTGTGTGTGAATATGTATGTATGTATATATATATAGATAGATAAACAGACAGATTGTGTTTGTGTGTTACACACACAAACACACACACACACACACACACACACATATCACACACAACACACTACATATATAATATATATATATATATATATATATATATATATATATATATATATATATATATATATATAATATATAATATATATATTATATATATATATATATATACTATAATGACATATATAATACACACACCACACACACACACACACACACACACACACACACACACACACACACACACACACACACACACACACACACACACACACACACATATATATATATATATATATATATATATATATATATATATATATATATATATATATATGAGAATAATCTGCATCAATAGATACGCATGCGTCAGTTTCTTGCTATAACTAAAGCAAAACGATTTTCTCCAAATCCTGCATCACATAGACCAGAAGAGTCTATATCGAAAGACAAAAAAAAAAAAAGAAAAATCTGAGTAACATACCAAGGTCCGTGGCAACTTCTAAACGCCTTTCACACCATCTACAACTTTTTCACTGTTATACCACTGCTTATCTTTGCAAGGGGACTTTGATAATGATGATATGACGCATACATGTCCACTTTTTGTAGTGGTAAAATGGCTCAATATTCATCGACTTGGCAACACTGTAGGAGTCCGGGTATGATAAGATATAATATATATTTTAGTTGTTTATTCATTATCGATTTCTTTTTCTGTCTTTCATCCTTGTAAAGTCTGAAATTCTTAATTCATAATGTCTCAATTAAACGATTTGTCTCCCTTCAATGGTTCTAAATCCTCTCACTTCCTTCCGAACATTCGAACTTTTCCTACTTTCCTCCCACACTCGGATGCTGAAGACGCCCACCCTCCCGTATTGGTTTCATTACAATTTATACCTCCCAAGGCGTGGCGTGTCTAGACTGGCTTTTTTTTTTAATCTTTAAAATCATACTATAACTAAAAGCAAATATATTGAATAGTTTTTATAACTATCGTATATTACAGACTATTATTTCCCCCGAAAGAACATGTAGAGGATCTGGCTTACGAGTATTTTGAAGCCGCCTCGCCCAGTTCCCAAGATAGTGCGCCTAGGCCTGGCCAGAAACATGGTGCACTGAAGACGTTTAACGTTGGCCAAAGGGAGGTAATCCCCACAAATGAAGATGGTGGATCCTCGGCTTAACATGCCTTCCTCTCCTCCTCTCTTTCCCATTTTCCCCCCTTTCCCCTCCTCACACTCTCCTTCTCTATCCCTTCTTCCCTTCCTTTCCACCCTTCCCTTCCTCACTCTCCTTCCTCTATCCCATTCTCCCCCTCCTTTCCCCTCCTCCCACTCTTTCCCTGTATCCATTCTCCCCCCCCCCTTCTTCCCATTCTCTTTCCCTCTATCCCTTCCCCTCTACCTTTCTCCCCCTACCCCCTTCTCCCACTCACTTTTCATCTATCCCTCCCCCTTTCCTTTCCCCTCTTCCCTTCCTCCCATTTTCTATCGCTTCTTCCCCTTCCTTTCCCCCCTTCCCTTCCTCCCACTCTCTTTCCTCTATCCCTTCTCCCCTCCTTTCCCCTCTTCTCTTCCTCCCTCTCCTTTCTCTCTATCCCTTCCCCCTTCCTTTACCCCCTTCCCTTCCACCCACTCTCTTTCCTTCTATCCCTTACCCCCTTCTTTCCCCCTCTTCCTCCCTCCCACTCTGTTTCCCTCTATCCCTTCTTCCCCCTTCCCTTCCCCCTCCCCCTCCCCCTTCTCTCCGTCCTGTAACCCCCACCGCAGCTGATATGTAAACAACCTTGAAGTAATCTAAACTCGCCTAACTTTGTGGTAAGAGATACCATAAAGTTTTAAAATTTCCTTCTCACGACTCGCTTTTTTTTGTTTATCAACCACGTATTGGTATAGATTGTGGTTATAGATAAAACACCTGTGATATACCAGAACGAGACCAATTTAACTATCCGATTAACTATTCGTTCAACCAGCTATCAGTGAATACCCCCTGTAACCACTAATTAGACGTGCGCCAAATAATGTCAGATCATCTTTCTTGTATGTCACCGACCCATTAAATTTCCTACCCCCCTTCACCTACCTACTTTGCCATCCATCCACCAACACATCCAACCAACCACCCATCCATCCATCTCTACATCCATCCATCCAACCACCCAACCATCCTTCCAGCCATCTATCCACCACCCACCCACCTATCCATCCATCCATCCATCCCCACCCACCCAATCATCTATACATCCATCCATCCAACCACCCAACCATCCTTCCATCCATCCACCCACCTATCCATCCATCCACCCACCCATCCATCCATCCATTCCATCCATCCATCCATCCATCCATCCATCCATCCATCCATCCATCCACCCACCCACCATCATCATACATCCATCCATCCACGTATTCAGCATTATAAATACACCTATTCATCTATCAGTCACCTATCTATTAATCCACCCGTTAAACTTTCTACTCCCTCCACCTCCCTCCCATCCATCTACCTACCTTCCCGTCCATCTATCCATCCATCAACCCAACCACCAACTCATCCATCCATCAGTCAATCCATCCGTTTGTCCATCTATCCGTTCATCCAACCATCCACTCATCCATGGACCTACGCACCCAATCACCCTTTCACCCGTCAATCTACCCACGTACCCATCCATCTATCCACCCATCCATCCATCCAACCACTATCTATTTATATCTATCCATCCGTCCATCCACCCAACCATCTATCTATCTATACATTCATCAATCTATCTATCCATCCATCTATCCACTCTATCTATCCATCTATCCAATAGCTCTACCCACCTTCAATAGACGCCAACTCGGTCCTGTCCACATGACTGTTTTCCTCTTCCTCATACTCCTCATGATCTTCATTCCTTTCCTGACGTTCCTCGTGTTTGTGCTCCTCATTCTCCGTGTCTGTTTCACATTCTTCGTTCTTCAAGTCTGCTTCACATTCTTCATTCTTCGGGTCTGTTTCACATTCCTCATTCCTCGAATCTGTTTCACATTCCTCATATATCGGTTCTGTTTCACATTCCCCATTCTTTGGGTCTGATTCACACTCCTCATTCTTCAAGTGGGCTTCACATTCTTCATTCTTCGGGTCTGTTTCACTTTCATCATTACTCGAGTCTGTCTCACATTCCTCATTCTTTGGGTCTGTTTCACATTCTCCATTCTTTGGGTCTGTTTCACTTTCATCTTTCCTCGAGTCTGTTTCACAATCCTCATTCTTTGGGTCTGCTTCACACTCATTCTTCAAGTCGGCTTCACATTCTTCATTCTTCGGGTCTGTTCCACGCTCCTCATTCCTCGTGTCTATTTCACATTCCTCACATATCGGGTCTGTTTCGCATTCCTCATTCTTCAAGCCTGTTTCACATAATTCATTCTTCAGCTCTGTTCCACACTCCTCATTCTTCAAGTCTGTTTCACATTCCTCATTCAAGTCTGTTTCAAATTCCCCATTCTTCGGGTCTGTTTCACATTCCTCATTCCTCGAGTCTGTTTCACATTCTTCATTCAAGTCTGCTTCGCACTCCTCATTCTTTGTGTCTGTTTCACATTCCTTATTCTTCGGGTCCGTTTCACACTCCTCATTCTTCAGGTCTGTTTCACATTCCTCATTCTTTTGGCCTGTTTCACATTCCTCATTCTTTGGGTCTGCTTCACACCCCTCATTCTTTGAGTCTGATCCACATTCCTCATTTTTCGGGTCTGCTTCACATTCCTCATTTTTCTGGTCTGTTTCACATTTTTCATTCTTCGGATCTGCTTCACATTCATTCTTGCACAACTATTCTTTGGGTCTGTTTCCCATTTATCATTCTTCGGGTCTGTTTCACATTCCTCATTTTTCTGGTCTGTTTCACATTTTTCATTCTTCGGATCTGCTTCACATTCATTCTTCGAGTCTGTTTCGTGTTTCTCATTCTTCGAGTGCATTTCTTGCTCCTCATTCTCCAAGTCTGTTTCACACTCCTTATTCAGATCTGTTTTCTGCTCCTCATGTTTGAGGTCAGTTTCCTTCTCATTCTTCATGCCTGTTTCGCCTGCCTCATTTTCCAGGTCCGTTTCGCGCTCATAATGTTTGAGATCGGTTTTATGCTCATTATTCTTCGGGTTTGCCTCATGCTTTTCAGTTCTTGGCTCTGTTTCGTTCTCCTCATTCTTCACGTCTGTTTCGTGGTCATTCTTCGGGTCTACTTTGTGGTCGTCCTCCAGATCTGTTTTGTGCTCTTCAATTTTCATGATTGCTTCACATTCCTCATTCTTCGGGTCTGTTTCACATTCCTCATATATCGGGTCTGCTTCACATTCTTCATTCTCTGGATCTGTTTTACATTCCTCATTCTTCAAGTCTGCTTCACATTTCTCATTCTTCCAGTCTGTTTCAGATTCCTGGTTCTTCAAGTGTGCTTCACACTCCTTAACCTTCAGGTCTGTTTCACGTTCCTCATTTTTCAAGCCTGTTTCACACTCCACATTCTTTAAGTCTGTTTCAAATTTCTCATTCTTTGGGTGGTCTGTTTCAGATTCCTCCTTCTTCGTGTCGGTTTCACATTCCTCATTTTTCCAGTCTGTTTCCATTCCTCATTCTTCAAGCCTGTTTCACATTCCTCTTTCTTCAGATCTGTTTCACATTCCTCATTCTTCAAGCCTGTTTCACATTCCTCTTTCTTCAGATCTGTTTCACATTCCTCATTCTTTCAAGCCTGTTTCACATTCCTCATCTTCGTTTCACATTCCTCATCTTTCAAGTGTTTCACATTCCTCTTTTTTCAGATCTGTTTTTCACATTCCCTCTCATTCAAGCCTGTTTCACATTCCTTTCTTCAATCTGTTTCACATTCCTCATTCTTCAAGCCTGTTTCAACATTACAATCTGTTTCACATTTCACATCCTTCAAGCCTGATTTCAAGCCTGTTTCACATTCCTCATTCTTCAAGCCTGTTTCACATTTCCTCTTTCTTCAGATCTGTTTCACATTCCTCATTCTTCAAGCCTGTTTCACATTCCTCTTTCTTCAGATCTGTTTCACATTCTTCTTTTTTCAAATCTGTTTCACATTCTTCATTCTTCAAGCTTGTTTTACATTCCTCATTCTTCGTGTCTGTTTCACACTCCTCGTTCTTCGAGTCGGTTTCACACTCCTCATTCTTCAATCCTGTTTCACATTCCTCTTTCTTCGTGTCTGTTTCACACTCCTCGTTCTTCAAGCCTGTTTCACATTCCTCATTCTTTTCGGTGTCTTGTCACATTCCTCTTTCTTCAGATCTGTTTTACATTCCTCTTTCTTCAGATCTGTTTCACACTCCTCGTTCTTCGGGAGCGTTTTGTGGCCTCCATCCAGCGCATGTGTTTCGCGTTCCTCATCTTTCAGATCTGATTTTTGCTCCTCATTTCTTGCGTATGTTTGGTGCTCTTCTTTGATCATACGTATGTTGTACTCCTCATTCTTCTGATCTGCACCGCGTTCCTCATTCTCTGGGTCTGTGTTGTACTGTACATTCGAATCTTTGCTGTGATCTCCTCTCTTCACATCCTTGCTATCTATCTCATTCTTTGGAACTGTGTCCTCATTCTTTGGGTCCGCCTTGTCCTCCTCATTTGAATCCGCGGCGGGCTTCTCATTCTTCGGGTCTGTTTTGAGTTCCTCATTCATCGGGCATGCGCTGTGCCTCTCATTCTTTAGGTGTATACATTCCTTCTCATTCCCCAGATCGCTGATGCCCTCCTCATTCTCCAGGACCGTGTTGTGCTCCTCATTTCCCGGTTCTAAGCAGGGATCCTCATGATCTGGGTCTGTGCTTTGCTCCAAATTTATCACGTGTTCCTCATTCTCAGGGACTCTGTCATGCCCCTTGCTCTTTGGGTCTGGGCTACATTCCTCATGCTTCGGACCGGCGGCCTGCTCCTCATTCTCCTCACTCATCACGTCTGCGTTGTGCACTTCATTCTCCAGTCCAGTCTTGTGCTCACCAGTGCCGCACTCCTCATTATCTTGGTGTTCCTCACTATCCGAGTCTTCACGGTGCTCACTTTCCTCATTCCTCGAGCTCATGATGTGTCCCTCACTCTTCAGATCGGCGTGTCTTACATCCTTCCTATCTAGGCTGTGTTGCTCATTCTTCAAGTCTGCCAGATGTTCCTCATTCACGTCAAAGATCCCAATTTGTTCCTTATTCGGTTCATCCTCATTCTTGATGCCTTTGCTGTCTCCTCCATTCTTCGGGTTTGCGTTGTCTCCCTTGTTTTTCAGGTCTGTGCTGTATCCATCATTCTCTATGTCTTTGGTATTTCCCTCATTCTTTGGATGTTGGCTGTCTCCTACATTCTTCAAGTCTCTGCTCTTTCCATCATTCGTCGGGTTTTTACTATCCCCTTCATTCTTCAAGTCTCTACTCTCTCCTTCATTCTTCGGGTCTTTACTATCCCCTCCATTCCTCAAGTCTCTGCTCTCTCCTTCATTCATCGGATCTTTACTATCCCCTTCATTCTTCAAGACTCTATTATCCCCCCCATTCTTCGGATCTTTACAATCCCCACCATACTATCCCCTNTCCAAAAGTTATTGATTGAGCCATCTTGACGAGCACTCTGGCAGCTAATTGGTCATTAATCATTTCGCGCCTGTTCGCTTCCTGAGTGCCTATTGGTTAAGCCCGGGCGTGACGGGGTAGACGAAGGGCGGCGGGGACGGCGGGCGGCCTCCCGTTCCTCTGTCCCGACATCTTAATTATTGCCAAGCCGCCGTTCCTGCGACGTTTATAGCTACGTTTAATCCGTTTTATCCCGACTTAGTTGACACGGAAAACACGCATTAGGGCCTTGTTTATAATTGTGTTTTCCTGTACGTCGTCTCAATTAGATTTCGGGCGGCAAGTCGCGCGGCCGAGGCAGGTGGCGCGGGCGTCCCCGGGAGCCAGAGTGACAGCGCGCCCGCCTAACTCGGTTATTTGTCTACCAACCTTATACACGCGTCTACCGCACGCCCGGCCGCTCGTCCGGCGCCCGCCCGCCACTTGAAAGAAGCACGCCCAATGCGATAAAAGAGCGGCTGACGCGCGGAGCGGAGAGCAAGGAAGTTATGATAAATGATGTATGGTCGTAGAGCTAATGGCATTACGGCCGCCGGACGCACCGCGCGCTTCACTTATCCGCAAAGTCTGGTTCAATTATTTCTCTTTATGTGGCAACGGCCCGTCCCGACCCGCTGCCTTCATTATACTCTAATTGCTGGTTACAATGTAACTTAATTTTGAATCTACTTTTAGTTTCTGGAGCGGCCGAGTTGCCGGTAGAGATATTTAATGTGATATCTCCAGTTACAAGTTAATTATAGTAATTGCTTACGTTAATATACGCTCGCACAGCCATGAATGGAAGTGTGTGTCTTTGTGCGTGCGTGTGCGTGTGTGAGGTTTGTGTGTGCTTGATTGGGAGTAAGAGGAGTGTTCATTACGTATTTAGTTTGAAAGAAAAAAAAATCCCGAACATCCACATTTAACAAAATTATTAAGAAATGCAAATATCTCAAACTTGCTTCCATGAACATCACAGAAAACCAATAAACATTTACAAGAATACAAAAGAAAACACAGATAAAGGAAATTGCTCAACAAAAATGACACGGAAATATAAATAAGAGATATTCCTCACATTTCCTGCCTCTTCCCTCTTCCTCGCTTCCTCGCCTCCCCGCTTCCTCGCTTCCTTGTCCTGATCGCGAATCGAGACTTTCCGCGCTAGACACCGGCCGGGATCTCCTCTCCTTCTGCGCCAAGTACTAACTCTGCTGCCAGAAGGATGTAGCTACTGTGGCCTCTGGGTCTTGCTCTTTTTGTCTTTCTCCTCTTCTCCTTTTCCCTCGTTTTCTCATGTCTCCATCTTTGATGTTTGTCTTTGTCTCTCTCTCTCTCTGTCTCTGTTCTCTGTCTCTGTCTCTCTCGCTCTCTCTCTTTCTCTCTCTCTCTCTATCTATCTATCCATCTGTCTCTCTCTCTGCCTCTCGCTGTCTCTCTTTATATATATGTATATATATATATATATAATATATATATATATATATATTATATATATATATATATATATATGTATATATATATATATATATATATATATATATATATATATATATATATATAATATAATATATATATAATATATATATACATATATATATATATATATACATATATATATATTATATATATATATATATATATATATATATATATAATATATATATATATATATATATATATATATATATATTCATCATCATCATCATCATATCATTAGCATTAGTATTAGCATCAAGTTCATTATCATTGTCACGTAATTTTCATTGTTATTACCATTATAATTATTGATGCCATTATTTTTATCTTCATCAATCTCTTTGTTATTGCTGTCACCATTGTCACTATCATCAAATTTATCCTTATCATTATTATTATCATCGTTAAAAAACATATCTTACGAGACGACCTCTCCCTCTTCGACCACCCTCTTCCTACCCCTCCCTTTCAGCCTCCCTCTCCCTCCCCTCTCCCCAATCCCCTCTTCCCTCCCATTCGATCCTCTCCTTCTCTCCCTTCAACCTCCTCATCCTCCCTCTCTCCCACCCTCAATCCCCCTTGACCCCCCCATCCTCAAACAACCTCTTCCCCTCCTTCTCAATTCCTCTTCTTCTCCCTCTCCCTACCCCCTCTCCTCCACCCTCCCCTTCACACCCTCCTCTCTCTCCCCCGTCCCCTAATAACCCCTCCCCTCCCTCCTTCTCTTCCTCAACCCCTCTCCTCCCCCCCCTCAAACCCCTCTTCCCTCCCTCCCTCCTCAACCCCCTCTTCCCCTCCTCCCTCTAAGCCCCCTCTTCCCTCCCTCCCCCCTCAACCCCCTTTTCCCTCCCGCCATCAACCCCCTCCCCCCTCCACCCCATCTTTCCCCCCTCAACCTCCTCTTCCCTCCTTCCCTCCTCAACCCCATCCCCTCCCTCTCCCCCTCAACCCCCCGCTTCCCCCCCCCCCCAACCCCCTCCAGGACCCAACAATGACGTGTATATTCCGGCCAACACGCGACCCTGCAGTAATAGTTATAAAATAATCTATTACTTCCCCTCCCCCCCCCCTCATCTTTCTCCCCCCCTCCCCCTCTCCCAATCCAGTCGCATCTTCTTCATATCATTTTCTCCCTTTCCCTCTTCCTATTTTCCCTCTCCACTCCTCTTGTGTTTCCCCTCTTTATTCACGCCTCCCCCTCTCTTCTCTCCTTCCCCCTCCCCTCCTTCCATCTTCCTCATACCCCCTTCCCCATAGTGCCCATTCACCCCCCCCTCCTCACACCGACCAATCACCCCCCCCTTCCCTCACACCGCCCATTCACCCCCCTCCCCATCACACCGTCCAATCCCCCCCCTCCCCTCACACCGTCCCACCCCCCTCCCCTCACACCGTCCATCACCCCCCTCTCCTCACACCGTCCAATCACCCCCCCCCTCCCCTCACACCGCCCATTCGCCCCCTCCCCTCACACCGCTCATTCATCCTCCTCCTCCTCCTCCTCCTCCTCCTCCTCCTCCTCCTCTCCCTCCTCCCCCTCCTCCCCCGCCCATTCACCCCCCCCCCCCGCTGCGACCGCTTGCCACACAAAGCCTCAACAATCGTCGCTATTTTAGGCGACACAAGAACGGACAATGCAGCAAATTGCCTTTATTGATGAGCTGAGCTAATAAAGACAGGGGAGGGGCGGCGTCTGTGCATCTCTGGGTGGCGGTGGGTGTGGAGTCCCTTCTTCCCTGGGCGAGTGCTCTCTCTCTCTCTCTCTGTCTTCTCTGTCTCTCTCTCTCTCTCTCTCTCTCTCTCTCTCTCTCTCTCCTCTCTCTCTCTCTCTTCTCTCTCTCTCTCTCTCTCTCTCTCTCTCTCTCTCTCTCTCTCTCTCTCTCTCTCTCTCTCTCTCGTTTTCCGACTCTACGTTTCATTCTCTCCCCTCTTTCCTTTTCCCCCATTCTCGTCTTTTCTCTTCTCGTTTCTGTCTTCTCTCATCTCTCCTCTTTTCCCCTCTCTAATTTTCCTCTCTCTCTCTCTCTCTCTTCTCCGCTCTCCTCTCCTCCCTCTGTCTTCTCTCATCTCTCTTCTTTTCCCCATGTACGTTCCCTATCTTTCTCTCTCTCCTCTTCTTCTCTTCTCTCCTATGTCTTTTCTCACCTCTTCTTTTCTCCTTCTACGTTCCCTGTCTCTCTTTCCTCTCTCCTTTCCTCCCTATGTCGTCTCTCACCTCTCTTCTTTTCCTCTCTCTCCTCTCCTTTACTCCGTCTCTCACCTCTCTTCTTTTCCTCTCTACTTTTCCTCTCCCTCTATCCTCTCCTTTCCTCCCTATGTCCTCCCTCCCCTCACCTTTCTTCCCCTCGTCTTGTGCCCCCCCCCCACCGGAATTCCATCATCACCATTCACGTGATCTTGGAATGATGGTGACGCTGGTGGTGACTCTGATGATGATTGTGATAGTGACTCTTATGAAAGTGATGATTGTGACAGTAAAAGTTTTGATGGTGATGTGATGATTTTGTGATGATTGTGGTGATTGTGATCATGACTGTGATGGTAATGATTGTGGTAGTGGTGATTATAGTGGTAATGATTGTGAAGGTGATGACTGTGACTGATGTTTACGATGACAATGATTGTGAAAATGATTTAGGTTGACAGGGAATAAAATGTGAATTGTTGACATCTGAAAAGACTAAAAAAGAAAACACATATTCTCCAAACATTATAATTGAGCCAAAATGAGTATAAAGTAATGCTTTAAACGGAATAACGGACGCATAAACAAGTAAACCGTTTTGGCGAAATACACCCCCCTCCCCCCTCCTCCTCCTCCCCTTCTCGTTGCGCACAAACAGGATGATAAAGAGAGCGAGAGCGAGAGAGAGAGAGAGAGAGAGAAAGTGAAAGAAAAAAAAAATCCAGGATTCAATTCATATCACACTGGAACGAAACACGGCAAAGCACTCTATTTGCAGGAACAACATTCATCATACATGCAAAAACAAAACAATTCTCCATAACAGGTCCATTGTCCACGTCACAAGCAATATGAGCGAACATGATATGCCTATTTGTACGCGATAAGGAAGATAATCAAACTGTTATCTTTTAATAGGGAGATCACAGAGCTAACTAACGCGTTTTATACACATGGCGTGGGGGTTAAATGGCCTTTTTGAGAGCCATTTCGAAAGCAAGCGAGTCAAAACAAATATTCGCAAAGAGGTTTTTAAATAGTTGTTTAAACCAGTTATTTACTCGTTTGCTAGTTTGCCCCTCGTCGTTTTTTTCCTTTTTCTTTTCTTTCTTTCTTTCTTTCTTTCTTTTCTTTTTCTTCTTCCGATTTTGAATAGAACTCATATTAATGGAAAAGAATGATCAAATATTAGGGAATTTCGTTATACAAAGACCTAATAACGTTCGA